TTTTCATCATTTAATACCAATAAATTTTTCGTATTTCTTTTTTTTTTTCTCTTTCTCTTTTTCTTTTCCTCGAAACTTATGCAAACATAATTGTTAACTAATCTGATAAAAATCAAATCAAATTTATAATTTTTACTGTAGTACAACAGTACAGTTCCTTGTTTAAATTATTATTTTATACTTACCATGAAATTTTCACCATTTTGTAGGAGGTATTTTTTTTATTTAATGGAGTTGTTAGTAACTGATAAAGATTTTAACTTAATAAGAAATTTATGCTGTTAACTTTTGTTTTTGGCTCCTCAAAAATTATACTCTATTTGATTGATGTTATTAAGAAATATTTGATTAGTGTTATTTAAATTATATTTGATTGGCAATTAGTTTCTTTTCTTTTTTTCTGTACCGCTTAATTAATTCGATAATTGTATAGTTTTATTTGTTAGTGGTAACTGCAGTGTTTAGAACATTGTGGTATTGTTTTAATTGAATATCGAGGCCTCAACTTGATGTAATCTGAAGGTTTAATGGAATGTTTTAATGATGGAAAGAGGAAAAAAAGATGCTAATCTTCTTAAGCTTACTAACCTGTATTTTTGTTTTGTTTTGTTTATTCTAACCTCACTGTTTGCTTGAACTTTATTCATTACTGATCGGTCGGCAACTGTCATCCCTTGTTAACATTTGCAACATCTAAACATCTGTAAACCTTTGGCTAGTGAACACTGGTATGTGATCCTTCGTAATTTTGATTTCTCAATTATTAATTAAGAAGTTTATGGATACGTAAAGGACAACAATTAAACCGGTTATGTTTCTTTTAGTTTTCGTAATATGTTTTCTTTTTTGCCGGTTAAGTCAATTGATCTGGTTATGATTTGCTAGCTCATCTAACGTCTCGTAAGCCGTTGATGAATTTGTTATAGTAAGCTGTTATTAAGGCTTGGCTTTTAGTCGTTGTCTGTAACGCTTAGTTCGGGCTCATATTTTTTTTAATAGAAGTTCTTGAGAATTTCTTTTGTGAAACTGCAGATTAATTGTTTTTGTAGATGATCAGTTTATGTGTTGGTATTTTTCTTCTTCCTCTTTGCTATTTTTCGACAGTTTCACCAAGCTTTCCGACAGCTTTTTATGTTGACAATGAAGATGCACAGTCTGTACCACTTCATGTAAATAAGTAAGTTTTTTTAGTGGTTTAGTTTGATATAATAATGACGGATATCCTGGAATATAGTTTCTTCTCGTTTCTTATTGTAACTTTATAATGTTTTACAAGCTGTACTGCACTTCCTTCCTTGTTAATTAGTCGTTCTCGAACCGTGATTTATCTAATTTTATTTAAGGAAGGTGGGCGCTCGATTAGAATCGCATATCTTAGAATTACTTGGTATAGAAAATCATGGAAGCGGAATAAGAGATGAGTTTGCCACTCGGTTTATGGCACAGTTGTACAAAAAAACAGAGGAAGACTTTGCACTGAATCCAGCTTACAGGTATTGATAACTGATTTATAGTAGATTTTAGTCTGTAGATTACTTTTATAGTGGCATCAGCACTAGAAGAGTTGAGAATTTTTTGCTGGTCATGTTAAACCCTATTACTTGTCACCAGTTAAACATTTCTTTGCTTAGATATCTTGAGACGGGGACTCCTTTGCCAGCAGCTGATGAAAAAGCAATTGGACTTGGGGAAGCTGATACTATTATTTCTTTTCTTCCTCGTGGTAGGTCACCATCCATCCGCACTTCTGGTACTTATCCGATTGATATTGTTTTTTACTTGCGCGAAGTTTAGTGATAAGTGACAGGAATGCAGAAGGGGGTTCAAAGTTGGGTTTTGACAGACCAGAAATCCCTAATGAAGGCCGTTTGCTACATGCTGAGCTACGTGTTTCTTTCGAAAATGTGTCAAAACCTTCTTTGTTGATTGCGAAATTTCAAGATCTACGGTTTGTTTCATTGTTTTCTATTTGACTTCCATCAAGACAAAATCGTTCAGGCTATTTCTTGCGAATTTTAACTGAAAAAAATTTTTTGTTAAAACTGTAATCAGTTAATTAAAAAAGTGATTGGCATGACAAAAATTTACCTATAGCTTCAGTTTCCGGCAGCTGTTATGATTAATCTTTTGTCGGATTAGTTTCGATTGAATTCCTCTCGTCTGTTCAAAGAAATAATTATGAATACTTTAGTGTCTCTGATTTTTCACTATCAGAAAACGGGCAGTTTTTCGTAAATATCACAGAAGTTTTGAACACTTGGGCAGCAAATCCTTCTATAAGGCCGGCTGTCACCGTGTTTGCTGTTTCTAAAAGGAGTAAGCTTTTTTCAAGATTAACATTGGTTATTGAAGTTGCTAGGAAATGAACTTCTCGTTTCTTCTGATAGCTGTTCGAAGTTTTATTACTTCCAGAAAATCTTTTCATTTTAGACTTGTAAAAAACTCTTGAGGAGCAAGTTTTTGTCGAAAATCCTCATTGAGTATTGCTTATAATTTTATTTTTTTGTTCGTTCTGGGTTACTTACAGTTTACGCATGCTAATTAGAATTAGACTTCAATAGATAAATACAGTTGTTAATTTGGAATCATTCCGCTACAGTAAAGAATCAGAAAAGGGCTATATTTGTTTGTTCGATTTTTAATCGCAAATTTATCTTCGTTAAGGTCTGTGTATAAGCTTCAAGATCACTTCTTTGGCTGCTACAGAAGAGGATAACGATACATTGCTTCTTTAATTGAACTGATCTTTTGGGGGAGGAAAAATATGCTGGGAGAGTAGCGGTACAAAAGTCGTTTTGGACGAGTTAGTTTTTAGTTTATTTTGTAGGTAGGAGATATCCGTTATCGGAGTTTGGAAAGTGGCATAGTTTCGGAATAGCGTCTTTTGCTGACTCGGGTCACCAAAGGAGAGGTCGTTCCAAAAGGAATGTACCTAATGGTCGTCACTACCCAGACAGCAGTCCTGTTTCTTTTACAACATCGAAACCTAAACTTCCATTTGTTCGTAAATCAGGTGATCAGTTCTATATAGTGATCCCCCTTCTAGTTTCATACCACTTATATGTGCAGTAAGAGATTGTCATTTATCAAGTAAATTTTATTTTAGTGTATGGCAAAGAATGCCGACGGAGAACCCTTTATGTGGACTTTAAATACCTTAATTGGCAGGTGAGCAAAATATGTCGCAACTTTGCTTTAGATTTGTTTTAAGGACCACTGTTTAAACAGTGGAGGAGGAGTTTTCTTTTTCTTTCAAATTATATTAAGTTTTCCAATTTTAGGACTGGGTTATTGCCCCTGACGGATTTTATGCTCACTATTGCGATGGGTCTTGTTCGTTTCCTTTGACTAGTCACATGAATGCCACTAATCACGCTATTGTTCAAACTCTAGTGTATCTGATTGACCCTAAAAGGCGAGAAATTTTTCAAAGTTTTGTTTTGTTTTTGGTTTATTAATCTAATTTTTAAACTGTAATAACTGTAGTTCTTTGGTTTAGGAAGTGTTTTAGCTGGTTTTTAAGCAAAGTTTTTTGTTTCTTATTGGGTTAGGTGGAGTTCTGCATTTTGGATTATGCAGTACTTACTCTTTTTACCTTCGTTACATGAGAGAGAAGGTTGGTGTTGGTGACGTGAGCTTTTTATTCGTAGTTTTTGTATTTCCCTTCATTTCCTTTGTATCTCGTAATCAATTAGATATGTTTTCTTCACAGATTATTATCAAACAGGAACCTTTTTGACTAAATTTAAAACAGTTTGTGTCTGCTAAAATTCTTTTTTGAAACTTCGTAACAAATGGAACATGAAAACTATACCTTTAAGTGAGATATGACTTTATTAACATATTTAAAGTTATTGCGTTTTTCTGGTATCAGTAACTTTGCAGTATACTCTTATGGGTTTGTTTGTGAGCAGTATATAACCTTTCAGAACAACCGAACCGAAATGTGCTCCATCAACGTTAAAGTCTATGAAGATACTGTTCATCGATTACAGCCGCAATGTTATTCTGAAACGATACCGTGACATGAGAGTGGAGGACTGCGGGTGTCAGTGAGCCTTTTTCATTGTGTAACTTTCAAGTTCTTTGAATTATGTCTGCTGATCTCATGTGGAAGAAAGTTGGGTTTTGAATACTAGATTTAATATTTGAGGTGTGCACCGACTTTTCTTCTTTATTTTTTTTTT